GTATTTAAAACAGAATTTGTACTGTATATGAATGGATGATGGAAGTCATCAGAGCTTCATCTCATTTACTAAACACTTGAGCAACTGCACTTGCAATGTGCACAGTCTATTTGCCTTTAGTAAATCAACCCCTTTTAATCCAGAAAATTAACCTTTGACCTGACCCTAGCACTTATCTATTTTAATCTAAACATTTAAAGTACCCATTAACCTTTTCACGCCAGCCGAACGCAATTGTGTAGCCTCCCGGGGTTTGGGCCTAGACACCGAGTGGCCGCACATTTGCGTTCTATTAAAAAAAACATATGTGCTGAGAGTGCACGCCCTGCACTCTCCCAGCACACGTCTGGTACTCACGGAAAGGTCCTAATCTCCTCTTTTGATCAGGACCTTTCCTGATCATGTGACCACCGTGACTGCATGTCAGGGCGGTCACATGACCCTAAACCCTGCTCCCCGACTTCTGAAACCCTTAAAGGGAGGTGCCGGTGCCAAGGGGTTAAAATAAACTGTCATTAGATAAATATATGGGCTACCTTTACTTACTTCCTACAGAAATGCTAGTTACCTGACTGTGCTGAATCTCTACCTATAAAATTGTCCCTCAGGGTCAATATATCCGATGCAGGGTTATGGACCCTGCTCTGGCTTTGATGACGTCAGGACTCTGGACCACCACAGTGTGCGGGTGCAGAAGTTGCGGGGATCAGCCTAGCTCCTTTTTTTCTCCCCTAGACATAAACAAGCAATTAACCCTTGCAGTGCAGACACAACCTCACTGCAAGGGAAAATGTTTAATTTGCCAGAAGATGGGCTTTAAACCAGCAGGCCATCATAAAAGATAAGCAACCAACAATTCCAGGAGAGGTGAACAATAGCAGCGTCTGTTTCTGGGGTTTACCCCACCCACCTACTATAATTGCATATAGTAATCATTTATTCACTATAATTATGTCATTTTTTTTGTCTGGTTTTTTTATTGCATTCCATGTAAAACACCGCACTTCTAAAGAGCTTTGACTAGCTGTGGTTTCCCTGTATAGCAGTCATGTTGCTCGGTGCTGTCAGCTAGTTCCGTGTATTTAGATGGCTTACATTTGTAAAGACAGCTGTAGACAAGCATTAACTACTTTAGCAGGATTACGTTTTAAACTTTAAAGACTTCCACTTGGTGAACTACACACGTAGCAAATGTTATTGAAGATGACGAAACACGTTAATGTGATAGGCCTAAAACACCAGGCCTGTGACCTACATTAACAATATATCAGCCTGAAAAGAAGCACAGATCAAAGCACTGATCTGAACACTGAAACACCGGAGTGCTTCCCTCATCTCTGTTAATGATTTTCCTGCCTGCTATATACATCCATTTATGATTTTTATTCAGTTCATGCTATTAAAATGGAATATTAAATCTGACTTACTACCTGTGTATAAGAGCATACCAAACCTTAGTTTGGACAGAAACAAAAACACAGCTACATGTGTGCTAGACCTATATTATACTGTCCTTTTCATTTTTGCTGGAAAAATCCAGACAAACGTAATAACAAGACTGAGCATGCACACTACAATGCTAAAGGTAATATCCAAACGTTATTTTTGTACATTTATTTTATCAGAGCTGGCATGTTAATGCAATGGCAGACACAGTCACCAACAGGCCCCTATGTAAGACCCCCCCCCCCCCCCCCCCCCCCCCCCCCCCCCAAATTAAACTACATGTGCTGCTGGTTTTCAGATCCATTGTCAAAAAGGCAAGTTAGTCATAGCATTATTGTCAAGCTAAATGACAAATACTGACTTGGTCTACTGTAGCGTATTCCTAATTATCAGCTGCAAGGTTAATTAACATTCTCATGATAAACGGAATTTTACATTTGGGCTTAAATTCAACATTTTTTTTAGTTATTTCAAATGAATCCACTGTTGTGTTCCACTCTTTGCTGTGTTTTAAAGCAGGCCCTTGCAGGATAACTTAAGAAAACGTACCTTAAAATGAAGCCCCGGCATCAATAACAGGGCCGCATAGTAGCACATTATGACAGGCTTTACCTTAAAATGAATCCCAGGCATCAATAACAGAGCCAAATAGTAGCACATTATGACATGCTTACCTTAAAATGAATCCCCGGCATCAATAACAGAGCCGAATAGTAGCACATTATGAGGGGAGGGGCAGTGACGTCACCACGCATCCACACTGAGACACGGCGAGTATTGACAGTGTGCACAGGCACACCAACAAGGCTGACCTCACCGCTGTCTGCGGTTTTATATATATACAAAGCGCAACTTTAACTTTTTACATGTGAGTGCATTACCAACGCACATTAAAGTCTTACACCCCAGATAAGACACTATGCATCTTTTTTTCTCTTATATATGTTCCAATCGAGGAGGATGTGATAAAACAGTCTGCTGAGGAAGGAAAGGATTCCGTTTATTATATTGATCTGCGGAGCAGCTTCTATTGCACACCATACCGACCATGCTATTTAAACTGCCATAGAGGAGAGTATACTGAACTTAATTACGCATTGCATTTATTGGGAGACTGATACTATATTGTATAAAGGATCTCTCCTATAGAATTTAAGATCTTCACCGGAATATTGACTAAAGAACGTATTGTGTAATAATGTCTAGATTTAATGCACTATAATGATAGATATAAGGGGTAAACATATACACGCATATGGTGCACTATTGTTTTCACAGATTATGTTTTGATGTTGCATGATTGATAGAGCACGGCACCATATATATTTTCACTGTTTATTTTTTGATGCACACCAAGTGAGGGTGAGTAAGGAAGCCGGCGATCTATTTTATTTTATATAAAGATATATGTGTGAGCACCTTCCAGTGGGTCACAAGTGATTGCACACTATTACTGGACATTATGACAGGCTTACCTTAAAATGAATCCCCGGCATCAATAACAGAGCCGAATAGTAGCACATTATGACAGGCTTACCTTAAAATGAAGCCCTGGCAGCGGTGACAGCGCCGCATACTAGCACATTATGGTAGGCTTACCTTAAAATGAAGCCCTGGCAGCAGTGACAGCGCCGCATACTAGCACATTATGGTAGGCTTACCTTAAAATGAAGCCCTGGCAGCAGTGACAGCGCCGCATACTAGCACATTATGGTAGGCTTACCTTAAAATGAAGCCCCGGCAGCCAGGACAGCTCCGCATACTAGCACATTATGACAGACTTACCTTAAAATGAAGCCCCGGCAGCGGTGACAGCGCCGCATACTAGCATATTATGGCAGGTTAATCTTAAAATGAAGCCCTGCAGCAGTGTGTTGTCACCACTGCCAGGGCTTCCATCTTCACCTAATCTTCTTTCGGGTGTTTGATGTGCCGAGCTGCGGGGACGTCACACTGCATGCACACGGGAGTCACAGCCAGGGCAAAAAGCTCTGAATGAATGGCACCTTCCATTCAGAGCACAGTGCGCACGTGCCAGTGATGTCAACGGCTGCTACTAGATTAAATGTCTCCTAAGCGGTGCATGTTTAGAAGGTATTTACTGTACCTACAGGTAAGCTTTATTATACACTTAGCTGAAGGTGAAAATCAAAAAGCAGACTTTACTATCACTTTAACTTTTATTTTCCTACTGAATGAGCTTGTTTCCTGAGCAATGATCCCACCTTTCCAGTTTTAGGGAGTCTTCTTTTCTTTGCAAGGCCCCTTCTGTTTGTATTCATGTAGTGGCAATTCTGCTCTACAACCAGCCAGAGCACACTTTGTACATCACTGCACACACAGCCCTGCAGAAAGCCACTGACTTGCTTCGTACTCCGAGCAAATTGAGAGACAGCAGCTTCCACCTGCGCTGTCCCTTGGTTGCCAGATACCCACTGAGCATGCTCCCCAACAAGAACTTTGGGGGAAGTGCTTCTAAGGGACCAGGAGCCAGTGGCAGCATACAGTAAATACTGTTAGGTGTGTATTTATTAAACATTCATCCCGCAAAACTTTATGTATGTTCATTCTGTCTGGCAAAATTGAATGTTACTAGGCTATTTTTTTCTCCGGGGCAGATGTTTTTTCATTCAAAAGAATAGATTGAATCAGGAAAATACCACATTATAGCCACTAGATACAGCTGACCATCATAGTAAGTATTTCCCATGATCATCAGCTCCATCTAGTGGACATAATGCAGTATTTTCCCAATTAATTCTGTTTTTATGTATGAAGAATATCCAGCCCAGAGGGAAGAAAACTTGGTAACATTTAATTTTGCTGGCATTCACACAGAACACACATACATGCAGTTTTATAGGATGAATAGCTCTGCTTTTTTTTTTTTTTTTTAATAAACCTCTAAGTGTTTGTACCCCTGTGTACATTAAATAATGTGATGAGGAATATTTACCAAAGTGCCTAGAGTATGCTTTTTTTAAAATTGCGATTATAAACCACTTCAAAAAGAAGAATTCCGTTCACAAGTGGGTTAAACAAACTGATTTTTATATTTGTGTACTAAAAGGACTATCACTCAAGCTGTATTACATCTAGGTTATGTAGAGTGATTGTGTGTGTTCAGAATATACCACAAGCCATTGATGTGTTCAGCCCCATGCACATTGGATGGTCAGCCCCGGGTTCTGACGTTAAGCTGCATGTGGAGGGCATAGGTGCACCGTTCAGCTCTGCTACCAGCAGCCCAATAATCCTCATGAGTATGCACCCAGGAAAGAATGTTCATAGTGCAGACTTCTTTTGTTCTGGGCAATCCTGCCTAGGTGCATACTATCCTAAACATTTGTACCACTAGGTGCACCAACCAGCCACCACAGCTGTCAGCCTCTCATAAAGTTTGAAGGGTTTTCCGCAAAGGGGCTGGATGGTGTACATATAACCTCTACTTGTAGATAAACATCAGAACCCAATGCTGCAGGCCTAAATGTACAGTGTACATGGGCCATAAGCAAAATGGTGGTAGGTCCATTGCATGTGTCCACCAGTCTTACCTGCACTGTAGCTGCTGCTGGGATTTCCCCAGGCCTCTTGCAGAGCTTCTGTCACTGCCTTGACCACTTCTGCAGACGGAGGAGTGGTTGCATTGTAGTCCAAGTAGATCCTCCTGTAGAAAACAAGGAACAAAGCAAAATAACAGAGAGGAAAATTAAATAGAATCAATAGTTAAAAGACTTAACTGACACCTTGCAGAGCTATGGTTCAGGGTTGGTGTCTGCAGTGTGGTGATGTCCAATATTAGTAGGGGTCAGGATAGTGGCACAAGGTTCGCAAAATTGTTGTCTTTTAAAGAAAGTTCTTGTTCTACCTATGCAGAGTTGTCATATAGCATAGCAGTGAGGGTGAGATCACAAGAGGACATACATTTGTATATATCTTCTGGCATGTACTGTAGTACATATATGTGTTTTTTAATGTGCGTTTTGCTTTAAGATAATAAAACATAGAAACTAAGAAAAAACATAGCAAAAGAGTGTTTATCTACAGTACGAGTCCCTTTCCTCAGAGCTGACCGGCCTCTTAGACTAGTACAGATGTGTAGTGGATGAGTGGGACCGATGCTTGGAACAGCGTTGCTGCTAAACATTTTGTCAAATGGTCAGCCATTTGACCGCACTGACAGTTGGAACACCTTTGCTTGCCGTTGTGGCCATCTTCTTAAAGCAAAAGCTTAATATACATGCTTCGTCTGTGAGTATGTTTTTGTCTTTTATACCTTTGAATTAACCTTGGATAATGCACTAGGTGTGTGCGCCACCTGTTTATTCTTTATCTAGTGGCTGATCTCCCCGTCTGAGGAGGGCTGCACCCCTGAAGCATCTTCTTCTGGTTATCTCTGTCCTGGTTCCCTTGGCTTCCCTTTGACTGTCCATTTCCTGAAGTGATGGAGAGTACATACGCTTCTCAGCCTTATGGCTAAGATCAAGTGTAGGATCTGTTCTTATCAGTGTCCAATGGGGGTGCTCCGCCATCATTCTTGCTTAGCGAGGATGTTTGGCTGTATAGCACCCCTGCTGGAAGGATGGGGGCTCTGATGGTTAATACAGGCTGGAACAGAGAATGAGGTGCCAACAGGCAGTTGGGGCCCGGGAGTAATTCCCCCAGGAACACCAGAGGGGCCCAGTTCCTCCTGGTTTGAACGGATCTACCTTGTCTGGCCAGGGGCCAGGGAGGCAGAAAGTCGCGGAACAGTGCCCCCTGAGTGGTCGCCTCAGGGGTGCTCCTAGTAGCACATGGGGATGGGATCCCAAGTGTGAAACGTGCACATGGTCACTGCTCCAAAACACTTTATCTGCACTGCGCCTTTTAGGGCTAGGCCTTTTGGCTAAGTCCAGGGCAATTTTTATGCTACAGGCCTAGCCAGTGCACAATTGCACGGCCACTTTTTTTATTTCTGCTTACTTATTTGGTTATTTTTTTTTCTCCCACGTTTTCACTTTTCACTTATGTGTGTGTTTTTTTTCTCTCGGATGGTAGGGTGTGGGTCCTCGGGCCTACCCTGAAGTCTAGGGGGAGGATGTGTGGCCTTTTGGTTTCTTCCTCTGTCCCTGGGGGGGGTCTCTCTTTGGGAGAGCCCCCTGACCTAGTACTTGGTGGCTGGCTTCGGCTAGCCACAAGGAAAGGGGTCCGCCAGGCCTTTTGGCTAGGCGGACCATGTGGAAACCTTAGGCCCTGTCAGGAGCCTCGTGCCCCCGGGGGATCAGGGTAGAGGTCCTACCCCTTCAGGGGTTTGACAAAGCACACCCCTAAGTACACTTTTTTGTGTTGGTTTTGCACTAGCACGTTTTTTTGTTCGCTTACGGGTTTTTCGTTTTTTGCACTTCCACGGACACGAAAAAGATGGAGAGTACATACGATATCCGGTACAGTATGAGTCCCCTCACACAACGAAAAATGGCTTATTCAAAGCTGAAGTGTGGCCATAAACTGTTTAAGTATATTTGCACAGTAAAATAAGTTCCCTCTAATTAAATCTGTCCCATCTCTGACTGCTGTAGAGTTTGCTATAACTTTTACTTTAATTCAGTTCGCAATGTCCTGTCAGCACAGAACTTCCAGTGCCAAGACTTATAGTTCTGGTGGTAGTACAGATATCAGAGGAGGTCATTTGCCCTTCAACTCCTTCATTCAGAAAAAGACTCCCTACTCCCATCACAGAGCTCCTTGCATTCAGCAAAAAGAATGCAAGAGTTTTTACGAATGGAGGAGGTGCTGAGCAAGTGACTGTAACAGAGGTCAGAAATATTGGGTTTTTTCTCTTTTGTTTTCTGAAATTGACAATCTATAATCTGGATGCAGTGTGTAATGAAGTGAACTTATCTGCACATAATTTGGTTTGTGAGTTCCTCACAGAGGGTAGGGATGAGGCTGCACTATAGGAAGCGCATAAATTATTGTAACCTGTACTAGGATAGAGCCAGACACCTCGGCACAGCCAGTATTTTGAGCTGAGGTCTCTGGCTCAATTCAAAGTACCAGATAACAAAGAAGGGTGTCAGACTGTTCAGAGTTTACTCCAGCAAGGGACAGAGGAGCTCATGGCTGCAGGTCTCACTAGAGAAGACTAAAAAATGCATTGAACTGCTAAGATAGACTTTGCTTTCTGCACTGCTGAGACTTGTAGTTCTGTGTGGCTTTCTGGACACTGATCCAGTATTCCCAACGCACACGTTCCTGCAAATGACTATTCAGTATTGATGGGGTGCTGCAGTGACCACGTGCTGGGAACCGCAGACAATCCAAGTGAAAGAATGTCAGCAGTACACCATGGATTCCTCAGATGGGTCCAAAGCTTTATTTCGTGTTACATGGTGGTCAATGTAAATCCCCCCTTACATCATTTTGATATTTTTTTTTTTTTAGGGAGGGGGGCTGTCAGATAGACTGTACTGGACCATGTGATATCTAACCTGTGACCCTGGACTTAACCTCTCTCTGTTTACCTTTACATACTCCTTATGCTCACCTTTGCACACTAAGTCAACCCCCCCCCCCCCCACTTATTTTTGTGTCCTATATGGTGATCCCTTCACTGTGTACCTCTGCTTGATGACTGATTATATACTGATTAGAAACAACTGTGGTAAGTTTCAGCAGCATTTTCACAGTACTTTTGCTTTTGTTGCAGATTATGTACTCGAATATGCCCCTCTCATGTTTAGTTTGTGATATAGGTTGTACTTTGCTCAGAGAGGGGGCAGTGCTGAGGCCAGGGTGCACGAAGACCTCTGTCTAAAAATGTTAGCTGCGTGCAAGTCTTTTCTTCTCAGGATTGACTCAAAATATTAAAGCAAAAAGGTTAGTGTGTTAGTCAACATGGCTGCCTTTATGTTTCCATTAATTAAAAGTGTTAACTAGCCAGGCAGTTATGCATACACTAATTAAATATTCATAGCAAGGGACTATGAATTTCCTTTTAAAAATATTTAGAGAGCACCTCTCACCTTGTCTATTCAAGAAAAGTGACAGATTCTCTTTTAAGAACCCGCACCCGCTGATACTCATCTTACCCATGACTCCCAACACTGTAAATGCACAATGCTACAGGATATGAGGGAGTATGTGACCTCCTCCCAGAATGCAGTGCTTGGGCCTGAGTAGTCAATTACCAGATCCAAACAATGTCACCTGGCAGAGAAGGTAAAGTATATGTAAACTCTCACCTTGTAAAACATTCAGTTTAAAAGAGAAATGAAGGGCAAAACATGTGTGTATAGATATAATATAATAAACATTATAAAAACCCTTCTCCCTTTTTATCCCTCGATTCTCAGTGTGGTCAATTTTTAATAGGACAGCAGAGGAACTGGCAGGAACACCAGGGATTTCACACAAAGGAAGCATTACAAAGAGAACAGGATACTTTTTCACTCAAATACATGGTACAGCAGGAACAGATCAGGAATATGAAATGTTGGGTATATATACTCTTTAACATCTATGTACAGCCAAAACGTCTTCCTATTTTGTATAGAGTAGTGAATGGTTAGCATCTATATTCGGTTTTTACAGCTATCCAAGGCACGGTTAGAGGAATTTACCCTCACTTCCTGTCCTGCTGACGTTTTAACAGAAAGGAAGTGAGGGTAAATCTCCAACAGCAGGACTTACAGAAAAATAAATGTTCAGAGAAATAAATAAACTCAGTAAAGTAAGGGAAGAGTGGCTGTAAGATTTTTAATTTTGTCTATGCCCCTAATGCAGATTTTCCCTCACTTCCTGTCTGGTGAAGCTATTGTCACTGGGACAGAAAGTGGGGACACATCTCTCTAATGAGCCACAGATATCAGTTAAATCAAACAGGGGGTCTAAACCTTCGGTACTTTACCCAAAATTTGAAGAAAAAAAAAAAAGGTTCTGGCTTGATATAAAACAAAAACAACAAAAAACACGCTCTGAATACCTCCCAAACATACTCCCAGTACTTATATTTAGCCAGCCGCCAATAATATATACATCCCAGTGCATATAAATACCATATATAAATGTATCAGTGCTAGCTCATGACAACCATCACACTCACAAATTTATCAACTTATTATTCATTTAAGCACTAGATCACGGCAATTTTGTGAATGTGATGGTAGACATAAGCTAGCACTGAAACATATGTATATGGAATCTGACTGGACATACACTTTAACCCCGTTTGAACTCCCACACCATCTGACACGGACTTTAACCCCTTAATGCTAGTGCTTCCCAGCTCTTTAAGAGGTTTCTGATGCCGGAAGGCGGGGGTTTCTGATCATGTGACCACCGTGATTGGCTGTCACAGCGGTCACATCATTGAGAGCTTTCCGTTAGCCGTTGGTAACCTTGTGGAGCACGCAGGGTGTGCGCTCTCGGCACAGCTCTATTTACATTCTGGTATACATACAGTGGGGATCGAAAGTTTGGGCACCCCAGCTACAAATTTGTATTAATGTGCATAAAGAAGCCAAGGAAAGATGGAAAAATCTCCAAAAGGCATCAAATTACAGATTAGACATTCTTATAATATGTCAACAAAAGTTAGATTTTATTTCCATCATTTACACTTTCAAAATAACAGAAAACAACAAAATGGCATCTGCAAAAGTTTGGGCACCCTGCAGAGTTAATATCTTGTACTGGCCCCTTTAGCAAGTATCACAGCTTGTAAACTCTTTTTGTAGACAGCCAAGAGTCTTTCAATTCTTGTTTGAGGTATCTTTGTCCATTCTTCCTTACAAAAGTCTTCCAGTTCTTTGAGATTTCTGGGATGTCTGTCACGCACTGCTCTTTTAAGGTCTATCCATAGATTTTCAATTATGTTGAGGTCAGGAGATTGTGAAGGCCATGGCAAAACCTTCAGTTTACGCCTCTTGATGTAATCCCCGTGGATTTCGAGGTGTGTTTAGGATCATTATCCATTTGCAGAAGTCATCCTCTCTTTAACTTCAGCTTTTTCACAGATGGCATCAAGTTACCATCCAAAATTTGCTGAAATTTTATTGAATCCATTTTTCCTTCTACTCGTGAGATGTTCCCTGTGCCACTGGCTGCAACACAACCCCAAAGCATGATTAATCCAACCCCATGCTTAACAGTTGGACAGAGGTTCTTTTCATTCAATTCTGTGCCCCTTCTTCTCCAAACGTACCTTTGCTCATTCCGGCCAAAATGTTCAATTTTAACCTCATCGGTCCACAGAACTTGTTCCAGAATGCATCAGGCTTGTCTATATGTTCATTTGCAAAGTTCAAACGATGATTTTTGTGGTGAGGACGTAGAAGAGGTTTTTCTTCTGATGACTCTTCCATGAAGACCATATTTGTACAAGTATCTCTTTATAGTGGAATAGTGTACCACAACTCCAGTGTCTGCCAGATCTTTCTGGAGGGATCGTGCAGTCAAACGTGGGTTTTGAATTGTTTTTCTCACAATCCTGCGAGCTGTTCTGTCTGATATTTTTCTTGGTCTTCCAGATCTTGCTTTAACTTCCACTGTTCCTGATGACTGCCATTTCTTAATTACATTCCGAACAGAGGATATTGACATCTGAAAACACTTTGCTATCTTCTTATAGCCTTCTCCAGCTTTGTGAGTGTCAACTATTTTCAGTTTCAGTTTTCTAGACAACTGCTTAGAAGAACCCATGGTGCTGATTGTTGGGGCAAGGTCAGATGAGTCTGGGCATTTAAAACCTTTGAGATTGACATCACCTGGTCTTCCCAGACGATGATTGAGAACAATCCATGACACTGGCAGGTCTCAGCTTGGCAAAGGGGGCAGTGCATGCTATAAATTCTGCAGGGTGCCCAAACTTTTGCAGACGCCATTTTTTCATTTTCTGTTATTTTGAAAGTGTAAATGATGGAAATAAAATCTAACTTTTTTGACATATCATAAGAATGTCTAATCTGTAATTTGATGCCTTTTGGAGATTTTTCCATCTTTCCTTGGCTTCTTTATGCACATTAATACAAATTTTTAGCTGGGGTACCCACACTTTCGATCCCCACTGTATATGGAGCCTCTCAGTGTTAAGGCCCACCTGCCGAGAGGCCGCATATATGCGTACGACAGGCGTCAAGAGGTTAAACAGGGTTAGGGACCAGCAATCTGAAGAACAGAGCAATGAGGGAGTGGTTGAAAGGTATCAGTAGGTGGGGGGGGGGGGGGGCAGACACTTAAACAATAACAGCTTGTCCCTCTAATGGTGGTCATATATGCTTCAATAAATGATCGATTATTTTTTTTTTTATAACGCCCTGGAGGAGGGACGAAACACGTCAGACAGACGTACTTCCAGTTTCCTATGTTGAGCGTCTGACGTCATAATTATTTTTGATTCATTTTATGTTTTGCGCTGTTACATTGTTTCACTGATTTTTTTATTTTTAGCAATCATTTTGATTCTTATCAAGGCACAGCAGCATTCACGTTCAAATTTTTCACATAGTTCTTGTGGCGCAGGTTGTTTTTGTTTTAGTGTTGATTAATTTTCTGATTGATCTCTTACAATCAGAAAATTAATCTACAGTCAACAACACATTTGATTGATATGCCACACATGAGGGAGTGGATTTCAAATAATAGGTAAAATCATATGACCACTTTGACGAAAGCAAGATCGCTGCCACCAATATGTGACGATCCCATGATCGCTGTCACCAATATGTGATGAACATGGAGTCAGACCCCAGCCCTTCTCACCAAACTCGTGACCGAAGGACTAGCCAATCTAAAACTGCGATGTCACGTGCATAACAATGCCACACCCAGCTGCACGCTGCACAACGATTTTCCAGCTAATTGGACCACAATCTATGTACCGGCAGCCTGAGCAATTGTTACTGGGTCAGGTTAATTACGCAATTAACCCTTCACACTGCCACCACCTCCTTTTTGTACAGAGAAAGAGGAAACTCGGCGATATCAATTATAACACTATAATGGTTGAGATAATCGTCTGTATAACACAGTCACCGCAGGCCGGTTATACAGAGGGTTAAACAAACAGTAGCGCTCTTTTTAGAGGCGGGAATTCGTAAATTGTAATTAAGAGCTATAGAAACAGTTCAACACTTTCAGAAGGAAAGATTTATTACTAAAAGGTCAAACAGGGTGCAATAAAAATATTTACAGAAAAAAGATGTAACCAATATATATATAAATATACAGAGAACAGCACAGCAAAAAGGTAACAGAAGGAGGTTAAAGGGTTAAAGTACTTGCCAATCAGCCTTGGGTTTGCAGATCAAGTTTCAGAGCGAAAGGGTATGGGTCTCCCCAGGTGGTTCTGATGTTAAAATGGGAGACTTCTTCAACTCAACTTTTCTTAGGCCTGAGAACCCAATTTGTAGTTTCCCAGCAGGGGGTGTCTCTGAAGTCAAGGACCAATACCCCGTTTAGGAAGGGATCGTCTGGGCGTAGGCCTAAACTAGAGCCAAAATCTCCTGTAGTTCATATTTTGGCTCATAACTTCCCATATGCATAAGTGACACTCCACCTGCGAGTAGATTATTATGCGGACACGTCTGAGGATTGATTAGATATTAAATATGAAATTCTACACTGAATGGTTCACGAGATCTACTTTTCTGCTTTCCTATGTATTCCAACCACGGAGAGTGACCTATCAAAATGTTCGTCTCCTCTTGGCCAATCTGACGATATGCCTGGTTTTTATGTAAGTCTCCCATATTCCAAGATAGGAGACATGGGGAAAAAATGGATTTTTAAAAAGGTTATCTGGTTCAATGTCTTTTGAACTCCTGGGAAGGCTGCATTATCTTTTTACGAGGTGTTAAATGGCACAGGTTCTTGGACAGTGAGGCCCCAGCTCCCTTGGGGATTATATAGCTCCTAGCCCCCTGCTGGACCTGGCCTCCTGTGACACTCCTACACACACACACACACTGGCCAAATGTCACTGTGCCTCTCAGAGAGGAAGGGGGAGAATGAGGGGGAAATATGTTTGTCAGGATGGTTAACCCCTTTGCCAAGATGGAGGCTGAAGCCAAAGTGGTTGAACCGCGTCCATCTCTGAGTGTACTCCTGCCACAATCACAACTTACAATCAAACTTATGACTGTAAGTTATCAATCACATCTCTGTTTCAAACATGTAATCTAATGATCTGATCAATTGAAATATGATTTTATTCATGAACAAAGTATCTCAGTGCTGCCAATTGCTGCAAAACCATTATTACATTTCTGCTCTGGTAGATTAACTTAGTTTGATCATATGTAATTGAAATAGAATCTAAATCAATCAGATGGAAAGATATGGTGCTTTGTTTTTTTTGCAGATTTGATCATTTTGATTGAATTACTGATCAACTGAATAAAAAAATTGAAGCATGTATAGCCATCATAGTGTGTATTGCTCACCTCTTGGAGTGGTTTTCTGTGTCCTCCTGGTGCTTTTTGTCGTCAATGTCTGCCATGATGTTGAAACTGTTATAGAGGAAACACTGAACAATTACTAATAAACATCACACTCTGGCTTCTACATTAGAACTTGTTAGGTGCCGGAATTACCGAATCTCTGCTGGGAGGCTAAGCAGCTATAGAAAACCGCAAAACATGCCAAGCTGAACACACATGGGACTGTTATGACAGAAAGGTAGCGTAAGATCTTTAATAATGGTAACATACACACTCCACTGTAAAGGAGTATGAGCCATTCTGACCTAAGCGCCTGCCTAGACCTTTGACCACATGAATGGCAAACTGTGGGATGCCAGGGCAGTATTTTTCACAGGTTTGGTTCCCTTTCTAATAGAGTGGGGTGGCATGGTAGCCGAAGGTCAGTATCTAAATCTAATTATGCTTTTATAAAACCCTACATGATCAGGCACTGATGGGAACAGCCATTTCCTGACTTTAGTTCCAAAGCATTAATTTAGCATCACCTCTCTAAAACTAGTATGAGCCAAAGGACACTGGTGTCTTGCTTTGCCACTGACTCCCTACTACAGAAGGTTGCACTGATAAAAATAAAGTTTTTTTTTCTTTTTTTTCCCTAAGTTAGTCCTCCAACAATACTAAAAAACAAAAAAGGCAGTTAAAGCTACAATAATCACCATTTCAGTGCGGCCCCTGCAGTAATCCTTTTCACCACAGTTTTCGGCATTGAAGGACAACCAGCATCACTAAGCACAAAAGACTGAGGACATCAAGGTGTCCTGGGCTCACACCCTGAGGGGGCATGACTATGGTATTCTTCATCCACAGTGTAATGATGTAGAGAGTGGCACTGTGTCATTCACTCAGCTTCACGCTGTGCAGTGCCGAAGACTGACCACCGCTGCAGGTCAGGCGAGGAGGAGGACACAGCTTATTATTTGATCAGTCAAAAGACATCTGTAAAGGTAAGTATTTCCATTTTTTTTTTAAATGAGGTGTCAGTTTGTGGGGAGAGCCAAGAGCCCAAAGTCAATATTCAATATAACACTGCAATTAATCGTGGGTGTTTGACGCTAACACAATAATGACCTGTTTGTTGGTTCTTGAGTATTAATGAGAAAGGGGATATTATTAGTTTTTTTTTTTTCTTTAAGGGGGGGGTGTGTATAAATGTGTAACTGTCTGTACAGTGTGTTAGACACCTACATTTTATATATGTATATATATATTGTCCTGCAGTTTACCAATTTTTAGATGTGATGGCTGCATTAGTTTTCCTTTTTATGCTGTCTTCTATTTTCGGCCAGTAAGTCTGTTGTTTTTCAGGAACTTAACCCCTTCACACCTAAGGGTTAAAACAAATCTAAATGCCTAAGCACAATTCTGCACCGTTGACATGTGATAGCAAAACCGTACATATCATTACTTTGCACATCCAGGTGGATTATACCTTGATTTTTTCAGGACAAATTGGGCTTTCATTTGGTGGTAAATGGTAATGGATATCTCCTGATTTTTTTTTTATCAAAGGAAAACTGGCCAAAAATAGTAAAAAAAAATCCTTTTTTTTTTATTTAGCTATGTGTTTCTTGTTATGACCATAACCTACCACCAAACAGCAACCCAAAATAAATTCTCCAGCTCTTGACGATCGCAGCGATACCATATATGTGTATGTTATTTGTTGTTTGTACCCGTAGTACAGCCCAGAAACCATAGTGCGCATTTTTTTTTTCTTTTTTTTTTTTTTTTTTTTACCTAAAACACACTAACACTAACTGACACTGACATTAACACTAACTGACACTGATACCAATTTTTTTTTAATCCTGACCTTGACCTTTGACCCTGACCTTTGACCTTGACCCTGACCTAAACACTAACCCTGGCACTGAACTAGATCAAACCTTGATCTAGGTATTTTTTTTTATTTTTTCTTTTATTTTTTTAATATTTATTTATCTTTTTTTTTTTTTTTTACAAACTTTTTTTTTTTTCTTCTCTCTGACAGGAGTTCGAGAGATACAATGTATCTCTCTTCTCCATTCATAGAGAGAGAGAGAGAAAAAAAAAACAAGGGGGCCGGGCTGCACAGTGACTGATCACTGTGATAGCCAATCAGAGGCTATCACAGCGATCATGTGACCCGGGACCCGGAGTCCCGGGTCCCGATCGTTAGAACGGGACCCGGTGCTCTCAGTGACACCGCGGTCTCGGTGCTGGGAGCGCGCTGAGGGGCGCGCTCCCAACACAAAGACAGGTACGCAAATATGCGGCCCCACGGAAAAAAGCCCAGGTCCGTGAGGCCGCATATTTGTGTTACGTCGGCGTCAAGGGGTTAAGCACTGTAACATAATGTATCAGTTTACATGAATAAGACCATTCAACACTGACAGAGTGCTTACAAGTTCAGCTTTTATTTATTCATATAAAACCTTTTAACCCAAAAGGAAAAACTGTTTGCTCTAACTGACTGTAAAGTGTGAGCTAGAGTTTGGCTTCAATTTGTTATTGTATTCAAATCTGCTAATACATTTAATGCTCCTCCCCTGCACCCTAGACAGTGTTACTGTTGGTGGTGTCCTGTGCTCATTCCTCCAAAGTGGTGTCTCCCTAATACTGGCAGTGTGCTACTGGCCAGGTCATCAGGGGAAAAAAGCCCAAAAAAAGAAAACTGATGTAGCCACCACATCTAAGGATTGGTAAGCTGCAATATAATACAATTTTGGTTTTGGGTTTATTACCACTTTAAAGCTGAACTCCATATTTTGTTCCACTTTACATAGTTTGTTTGGGCTAAGCTGGCAATGAACCATGTCCCTCACTAATATGTGAAGCTGCTGCATGTGCTATATAAACTGAATGTAGCGGAGGCTACATACAACATACAGCACTGTGTTGCAGCCCAAGCCGAGACCTTCCTGTATCATACTCAGAACACAATAGAGTCTCCCGGAGCAGCACTCAGCCATTCAGAGAAAGCAATGTATTCTATCAATGAAAACAAAGCTTCCTCTAATTGGCCAAGTCAGAGGTTGTGACATCATTAGCCTGACTCTCTGACTTGATTGACAGAATACATTGCTTTCTCTGAATGGCTGAGAGCCACTCCAGCCGACTCTATTGTGTTCCGGGTCTGAGACGGGAAGATCTTGGGTTAGACTGAAACACAGTACTGTATATAGCCTGCGCTGCATACAGTTTCAACAGCACATACAGCGGCCTCACATGTTAGTGAGGGACATAGTTCATTTGGGTCAGCTTGGCCCAAACTATGTAAAGTGGAACAAAAGATGGAATTAAGTTTTAAAATAATAAAAATTATACTTACCATGTGCAATGTGGCCCTGGTCCTCCTCTTCTCTGCTCCAATTTCTCCCCAGTGCTCATGGTTCCCCCTCTTATGCGTGCCCCCCCCCCCCCCCCCCCCCATAGGAATCTGCATGTGAGGTTGCTCCCAACCTATCTCTGTGAGCAGAGAGAGAAGAGAGAGTGGCTTCAGATGTTAGCAGCACTGGATCGAAAGAGGATCCAGGTAAGTATTTAAAGGGGCTGTGGGGGGAGCTGATCATGGAAGGATTTTTGTTACATTAATGAAGGGAATGCATTATGCCTTTACAACCACTTTATTGTGGTGCATAAAACATTAAAGTGTACATATAGCAGTTAGCACATTCCTCTCTTGTGTGATATATTTATTGTCTGATGGTATCAAATAAAGGGACATAAATGCAGATGAGGGGAACAACACAGAAGGGACAGGGGATCCTCCAGCTACTGCTCAGCTCGATGATCGCAGTGATGTACTACACTGTGGTGCCCACTAGGTGGCGCCGTAAGCCTGCTTACAACTGCTCTTTTCCCAAGGCGGCAATCACCTGCAATCCTGCACCGACCTATTATAGGCGCAGCGCTGCTGTCTCTGGGCTGGGTATCATACAGGCGGGTGACTGGAGACCAGCAAAAGCCCCTGCCTGAATCACATTCCTCTCCTATCTCACTTACATGTTCACACGGAGGAGGTCAGGAGGGAAAAGACCATAGAGAAGGAGGAGGAGACTCAAGGCAACTACGGCAAACCAGAGTGTACAGATAGAGCGCCCACAGTCATGTGACCTGGAATGTATGAAGTACAGGAAAGCTGAGTCAGGGAACTCCACTTCCGGGTTTAGTATGAGGAGGAGCATAGAGCCGTGTATCTGAGCTGTGCTCTCCATACAGGTGTCTGTCAGTCAGGAGGTTCAAAGGGCAGAAGCCCAGAGGAGAAGAAACCCAGCACTGATCATGATGGAATCGCCAGTCACCATTCACACAGGAGGGTTTTGTAGCTCGAAGCTCCAAAACGCTCAGGAGGAAAAAAAAAAATCAATATTACTCTATGGAGATGGTTCAATCTGCACTCCAAGTCCCTGAAGCAGAACGCTGAGGCGCAAATACATTTTGGAGCTACTTTTTTTTTAGCTCAAATTGGGCAGATTTGCACATTTTTGCTGTGTTTTTATTCTGATAGAAAAGAGTAGAAACACGCAACTAGTGCGTTTTTGCAGGTTTTAACATGTGTTTTGCATGATTTTCTGCTTAAATGAAAATATTTAAAAAAAAATAGTAATTATATATAAATAAATGTAAAATAAATAACTCCTAACCTTTAAAAAAAGGGTTAGGGTAGTTATTGTTTGTTATTGGTTTTGTTTGTTGTTTAACTTTTAGGTTTGGGTTAATTATTGTTGCAAGTATTTCTAAATTTATTTTATTTTGTGTAATTTTTCAAAATGATTATTATATTTTTTGTTTGGGTTTAGGTGTTTATTATTAATAATTTTTAAGGATTAGAGGGTTAAGTTTAGGAGTTAATAATTATTTATTATTACAAAGCATTTATTTCTGATTATTTTTATTTACTTGTGTATTTATATAGCATTAATTTATAATCATCACCCTAACAACAAAATAATTTAATAATAAATTCATAATAAAAATTAAATAAAAGCTGATGGTAAAGCTGAAGCAGAAAAACCTAGCAACAAATGAT